TACCTACTTAAGAAATATGCAGGAGTGTCCTTTGGGGATACAAATTTCCATTTTTCAAATAAGAAACCCCATTTTTTAGGTAGGTATAGGTACCTACCGTAAATTATTTAGTTTGTATATTTTTATTGAAAATTATGAAGTAGGCACGTAATTCAAAATTTGAACTAGTAGTTTCTCAGTTACTAAAATATTTATTCTATAAGGATAATATTAATAGGATTATAATTTATAGTATTATATAGTTCTTAAAAGAACTTTTTATACAAAGATATAGGTAAAGCAGATGTAATATTATGTATACATATACTACCTCAGCTCAGGTATTATAAATCTTTGTATGGTTTTTTCGAACGATATGGGTATACATATTACATAGACATATAGCCATACAGATATAGGTATACCTACCCCTAGTATATTATATACTAGGTGTCTAGTGTATGTATAGGTATCGTATACACATAAGTTTCGTAAAATATAGTCTTACTGCAGAGTGCAGAAGTTTAGACTACTGCATAATATATAAATATATCCTTTATAATTATTATATAATGTATAGTTATATAAATAATATAGATAGTATAGGTAGGTACATGATATAATGCAAAAAGGCAAAACTCGATTTTTTTCGATTAGTTATATTGTAGTTAAGCCAGTCAAGAAGCTATATTCTATCCGCCAAACGCATCTATATATATATAATTATATATAACATAAACACTTAATATGTATCGCACACCGCTGCAGAGAGAGGTATATAGTACCTTTTTTTCTGTTTCTATAAACCGACGACGACAGGGGAACTGCTTTCCCAGCGCTTCTGCTCATTGGTATCTGTGTACTGTATCATAGGTACTGCGGCCTATGTCAGACAACGACGAGCGCTGCTTGTATCATTAGTCACGTCGTCTAGAGCCCCAAGTCGACCAGTACCACCACCGCTGCAGTAAACGGAGCGCTATAAACAATATATTAAACACCGCCATAAGCAGTCTCGGTGTCGTCTCGAATATATTGTGTATTTTTTTTTTGTTTTACCATCGACCATAATGTTAAACCATAATTATACACCATTTATAGGATGCAGAAGCGTATTACATGCATTTCACATAATATAATATAGGTTATTAGTCATTATATTATTATAGCCGCGATATATAGTTTGATATATATATATAGGTATACCTTTCCTACAGCAGTACCTGCATCTGTAAATTTCATGTATAATACCTACTGCAGTATAATTTATAATGATAAAACATAAAATATATTTAATGATCGTAATTAGCTATATTATGTAAGCCGTAAAAAATTCGAGTATATGTAGACAATAATATTAAATATACCTATAGGTACCTACATATACTTACGCGCGTATATTGTATTTTATTATTATATTATTATAATATATAAATATTAATTTTTTTTTAGTTTCGCCATCCCATAATATATAATATGAATATATATACACACACCTACCTATATCTATATTAAAATATTATTATACGATATTCTTTTTTGCGGGGCGTGGCTCGGCGACGCGGGGACACACGCAAACCCCTGTTAACCGTAACGAACGAACATCATAATAACAAAGCATTAAAATCGAGTTCGGTTGAGTAGTAATTGATTAACACGGCCGCCGCCGCCGGTCGAAGTGTGCGCCGCGGTGGGAGCGTCGGCGGTGCCGATGGGCGGGCACGGCCGACCGTCCAATCTGGGACCCGGTGGGCGGCACCCTCGGCCAGGCGCGCGGGTCCGGCCCTCCGCTCGGCCCGTGCGACTCTGGGCCCAAGGTGTGTGTCGCCGCACACCACACGCATTCATTTATCGTGCGTCGTTTTTTTCGGTCACATCCATCCACCGGTCGGCCGCCGCGGACCACTTTTCGATCTCGCGTATCATTATATTATTATATTATTATAATACGGTTCGTTGCTGTCGTTGTACGTCGTGCGCATAATATCATAATATACTGCACCGCCGATGTGTTGCACAATATTATTACCGTCGTCGTCGTCGTGCGTATCGTGATTCACGTTAGATTTTTTTATTTTTTTTTTTACGATTATCATACACCGTCAGTATATAAACCGAGCAAATTTTTTACTAGACTTTGTAGACTGCAATACGCGTTTTAATAAATAGGTAAAATATACCTATAGTCATATTATATATATATATAAAGTTTAATAAAAAAACGCGTGTCTATATACCTACCGCCGCTAAATCTGTCGACAGTACCTATAGTCGTATATTATATAGAAGAATATTGTTACTATGTATGACCAGTCGAACGTCTCGTAGCCTGGATCGGCTGAGTGGACAGACGGCGACCTATAACCCCATATAGCGTCGCTGCACTCTTCGCCGTCGCCGAACGGTGACTTTTTGAAAATCGTCAGGTGTGCCAAACATTCACCACGACGGCATCGCCGGGTGCACAGAGCGGGACGACCAGCGAGGCTGAGGACTCGTCCAGGTTAGTACATTTTTGTATAATATATCAATATAATACAGGTATAAAGATACATAACATATACTACATAGGTATATTATATATTACCCTATACTTATTAGATATTATATAGACATGACATACTGACAGACTGATATAATATGCATATTGATATGTAATAATAAATTATTACTGGCCGGTTTTCGCGGTTATTTCTCAAATATGCCTATCAACGACGTACCTCGCACCGAATAAGCCATTTTCCACGTATCATCTTACATCAATACAGTATGGATTCTGCTTTTATTATAATTATTCAACTATTATACCACACTAATAAATACAAATATAACTATATATTATAATATGATGTTTTTTTTAAATTTTGGATTATTGAGAATTGGGACAACCACTTTTTTGGGACAAAACAACACTTGACTGATGTGTCAGAAAATAGTTTATATTATTCTGCACCTAGTGCACCTATTATTTACAGGGCCTCATTTAGAGGGTGCCCCAGGGCCCCCACAAGATTCAATTAATATAAGAGGCCCCAACAAAATAAGTATACCTTTTGCAGTAAGTTTGTCAATCTTATATGAACCCTGGTACTCCCACAACCCTAAATCCAGCTCTGATTATACATTTATATTATAGGTATAGATATATATAACATACCTATCTATGTAGCGATATACGCTCCTGTAAATCCGCGAGTCGATCGTCATAAAGGCAGCTTACGAAATGAGAGAGGTATACCTATATATATCTTATTCTGCTCAAACCCATTTAATATAGAGGTAGCTGGTATCCTTACACCTATACCTAAATATAGTATCCATACTATTATTATACCTACAAATAAACATCCATAGATAATAGGTATAGGTAAACATAACTTTTAAGAATTTTTTGATTTTTATACCTGTGAAATTATTATAATATATACACCAATATAATGGTTTACTATATACACAAGTTCTTATTGCGACATCTATAACTATAGGTACTTTAAATTCTTAAATATATTTGGAGATAAATTATTTTTAATAAATAAGAATAAAACAAGTCATAGCTAATTAATTTAATACACTACTTAGCAAAAATTATAAGATACATTATTGATTTTATATATAATAACCTTATATGATATGTTATCAAGTATTATTTATATTATGTAGATAGGTATAAACTATAAAGTATAATAATATGCCAAATATTATTATTTATTACCATCAATCTATTATTTTGTTTAATGAATTTGCCTCATGGCGAAATGGAATGTTTCGGCGATGTTTTTAGCACATTATAATTTGGAATTTTTAATGTTATATACATTCGCTTAGTCGCAATGTGAAATGTGTATGAAACTACGCAGATATTATGAAATTGGTAGGTTTTATAAAATATTATAAATCAGTTATTCTTATTACAATATCTATTCAAAAACGTACCTATATTATCTTTCAATGTACAAATTCCTATATATATATATATATATATATATATATATACACACATTGCACATCATGATATTATCCATTGACAAATTGCGCATATAGTTTAAAATCGTGTATACAAGGTACATTATATCAAAGGTATACTAATATATTGGTTAATCGTTTTCATTCATAAAGATATTTTACACTTAGCTACGGAACTCAAAATCTGTAATACACACATATATATATATATATATATAGGTGTTTCCATAATACGTCAAATAATAAAATATATATATACGAAACTAGAATAATTTACCACGTCGTATTATACAACTGCATAAGAGCTGCTCAGCGATGAGAATGGAAATTTTCCAGTATTATGAACATTAACAATAATATATTATATTATATGTAGTTTCTACATCGGTAAATACATTTCGGAGGGTCGTGACGCGGGATCATTGTGATGTAACGGTCTCCTCGTGGGTTGGACGTGACGACAGCTCGCGTACATATACATATCACACACACATAATATACCTATATAATATATATAATAGATGTACGAACACTGCATTTCAGTAAAACCTATAACGTACATATAACATACAAGTAGTTACGCGCGTATATACAATATTTGTATTATATATTATGGTGGTATAATAGTCTATAGGTACCTACATAGCGCGTGTACCAAACATAATAATATTATTTGTAGGTATCGTACCAATATTTATATATAATTATTGCAAAAGTACGGCAGCAAATTATTTTAACTTTAGACGTTATAATGTTATATTTTATGTATAATATATTAAATAATATACACATGCGCGAGATATAGTACCTTCTTATTATATGTACCTAGTTATATGGCGATCGTTCTATTTTAAGGCCCCAAATTTAAATAACAAAAATGCATTATATACGATTTATTATTAAATCATTACCAAGTTTCGAAAAACATGTCGCATTCAAATTTTTGAGTTCCCAAATGATTTAGATATACTGATAGTTATATAATACATATAATAATGTATAATAAACCATTGGCTTTTTTTATCGTTGAAATATGTAGGTCGTCGTTGGGCTCTACGATGATGTTGTCCCAGCAGCAGCATCACCACCATCACCACAACATGCTGTCACCAATGTTCAACTTTTTGGACGTGCCGTGCAGCAGCAGTCCACCTCTAGCTGCTCTGCACACCATGACCGAGATGAAGAACGGGTGCACGGCGGGCAACCCACATGGCATCGAGCAGATACTGTCACGGCCACCGACCACCGGAGCAGCGGCCGCCATCAGCCACCAGCAGCGGGCGTTCAACAGCGTGGCCGGCATCGCGGCCGCGGGGATGGCCGCGGCAGCGTCATACTTCCACAACGGTGGCGTCAAGCACCCGGCCACCACGCTGGCCGACCTCACCACCAGGAACCTGTACTGGCCGGGCTTCCAAGGTCTGGTCAATAACCCGATCGCCTGGAGGGACAGGCTGGCTAGTCGTGAGTAACACCATCATTGTATATAATATTAATAATATAGGTATTATACATCTTATAAGTACCTAAATCTATTGCTGCAGACTGCAGTGGGGATATTATGATATTTGGATTTTACAAATATATATGGTCAGAATTGTATACCTATATGGGCTATGGACTATAATATGCGGTTTAGGTATAATATCTATAAGTACCTATATATATAGTTTTTAATAAGTAAAATGTTTATATATTGAGTTATAAATATATAATCAATAATAATATTGGGAAGCATAATTATATACCTATATTAATCATCTTCTCTCATAAATACGTATTTTCAACTATATACTTCAAATATATACATGTTTAACATAATTCACATAATTCTATTTAATTGAGTTTTATAAAACAAATCGTGATTCTCCAATCATCAAACAACCCCCTTTTATTCTTGCTTTACAGATTATTTAACTTTTAAGTATATCTTTTCAAATACTTAGCTTTCTTATTTCATTAGAAGAATGTACACAATTTCCTATTTATAAATAAATATTTTTTAACTTAGTAACATAATTTATACCAGCTAGATCTAATTTTAAAAGAATAATATAATCTGAATTATTAAAATGTATTTGGATAACTACTCAATTGATAACTGCATTATATATAGTCGTTTTATGTATACCTAAGATAATATATGAAATACTTCAGTAAAGTATTTATGCTCTATATAGGTTATATACATTTCTATAATTTTAAAATCCTCATTATACCTATAGTCCCCAACTCCCAAGTCTTCCAAATACATAACTATACTATATTTTAAGATACAAACTACTCAAAAACTACTGGTTTCAATTTCTATTTAGATTCTTATAGGTGCCTTAAATTAAAATAATATATATGTATATACCTATCTTTAAAGTAAGAAAGTGGTAATTACTTAAAAAAAAAAGTTTTTATCACCACAGGACACTGTATAATTAGGTATATAGGTACATACTTATAAAAACCATCTTTTAAAATACTTAAACGAAATAAAAAAATTTAAGTATAAATATATAGATAGGTGTTTTTAAATACTTATATCTTTATAATACATCAATATCAATACTTAAAATTCTGAACGAAAATCAGTTTTTGAACAAACTAAGAAAATTATAATACATGCCAACAACATATATATGATATTTATGATTGAATATTTATTGTATTATTAGCTGAATAATTTTTAATATTATTACATTTAAAACTTTTTTTTTTTAATGTTGTAGATACATTTAATTCAATCCCCAAAAAAATTATGGATGAAAAAACATAACTATATAATTTAATATAGATATACATAGGTATAAATGTCAAATATAAGAATGTCAAAGATTAAAAAAAATTACGTTTGAACAATTTGATAGAAATATATTTTTAAAGACATTTTAGCCTTTAGGTATATTTGAAATAATATATCGTACGCATTATATAAAATATAGGTATGTATAATATGTATTATACTATTATACATATTAAATCCGTGGTTTACTGTTATATTTATATATTATATAGGGTCTAATAAGTAATAAATAGGTTTACTGCAGATATTTTTTATCTATTGAATTTTGTCTTATTATTATTATTATTATTATTATAGACATACACTCACGCGGCAAAATATACGCACATAAATTTCAAGCATTCGTATGCAATATACATATTTTAAGCGATTCCAAGCTTTCATATATGTATATAATAATATACATATGAGAATTATGAGAGTGAGTGTGTGTGTATAATAATATTATATATACACGGACGGGAAAACTGCGTTTTTATTGGCCTATGATTTCGACCGGCCAGTGACAAATGACGTCCGCGCAAATATCGGCAACCGCCGCGGCGGTCAAAAGCGGTAACAGATGTGTGCGATTGCTGCAAACCCCTTGTCCTGCTGCCGGCACACCGCGGACACAAAACTTCGTTTTCAGCATAAAAAAAAAAAATAACCGAGGGGGATAAAAACACACACACACACACACGCGCAGGCTGTGGTAAAAGCTCTGTATACCCCTCCACCCGCAGACATATATATATATATATATCCGAGAAGGATTATTAGGGGTGCTAAAGTTTTACCGTGACGAGCGTGTATTTCGTCGTATATTTTTGTATATTGTGTTTGTGTAAAATAATATGTATTACCTTTCATCACATCATATTATATATTATATTCGTATGCGGCGTAGCCTGCACACATATAATGATATATAATATTACGCGAGTATATTAAAATACCTGCAGCGGGTTACATATTATGTATAATAATATATAACGTAATAATAGTGGACGTATAGTCGTCGTATTGACTGACTACTGACTATAATATAGTGTTTATATGCATAATATAATATAGGCGTAGCTGGTATATACGGAAATAATAGATAATATATATAACTCGCAAGGAGTGTCTAGCTGCAGTGTCTACTTTTGTAATTTCTCGTATATATTATAGGTACAGATCCATTTTGTAAGTACAGCTAACATAATATATAAATATTCTGCCAGAAATCTGTAATTTCATTTGCATATATTATATATTCCACTCTTTATAATTTCATGGGTACCTACTATTATAATAATATTATAGTATGTGCTATAACACTAATAAAGTAATAAAATGTCGGGTTACCAAATTTCATGTATATAAGTATAGTTGGGGATTTTATTTTCAAGTCGTACTTATGTTATTCTCCCACGTAATTTTGTACCGCAAAATTTGGATTAGGTATAGGTACCCTTTATAATATATTATATACATGCGTCGTTACCATAATATAATACTCGGTGTGTTGTGTGTAGGATAATATAATATAATATGATATATACAGTCTATTTGAGCGACATTTAAATTTTTTTTTATGATCGAAATAACAACAATAACAACCACAAAAAAATCGCTATAGCTCTGTACATTATATATACATAATAATAATATATAAACGCGCCTATAATACGGCGACTGTTGCGTGTGTCTAATTGGCACACATTATATATTATATTGTACCACCGCGCATGTATAAATATATATATTATTATATGTGTGTAGGTGTATTTTTTTTCAATTATAACGTTTGTCGCGATACTGACAACAAAGGATCATAAAAAAAAATAAATATTATATTATATAGCTGTGGTAGTTATACCGCCGGGCGAGGAGGAATTAATTGGTTTGGTTTATGGGCGTAATAATAATAACACGCATGCATATAGTATAATATATATATTCACACATAATGGCAGGATGACCTTTCTCCTATCAGCTCTTTCTCCTCGTGTGTATATGACAGTATAATATATGTATAACGATATCAATGCGTACATCAGCCGAGTTTATATATATATATAATATAGATTATAGGTGTATCAGCTATACATGTATATAATAATATTATAAATTATTGCAATATAAATACAGCGTGTGCACACATATATTATTATAGTTATTATATTATGCGTGCAGCGTATACTTATATACAGCAGCAGCAGCAGCACAGAACAGCTAACAAGAATATATATTATTATTATACATATAGCCGAGTCTCTTATTTTATTATTGTCGCGAAATCGTCGTACATACATTATTTTATATAATATTATAATGGTCGAGGATGAAGAAAAAAAGGGGTTGGTTTATTATATTATTTTATATATTATTATGTACACTCGTCTTATTCGTGACTGCGCAAGCGCGGTGGTACACGACCGAGGGATTTGCGGCCCCCCTCATAATAATATAATATATTATTATTATATACATATATAAGTGTATTGCAGCGGCTACGCTTTCGCCGCGGTGCAGTCAATATCTATATATATACACTATAGTTGCTGCAGCAGTTCGCCCTCCAGGGAAAATCCGGTCTGGTGGCTGCAATATGGCCGTCGTGTGTATACGCCATATTAACTGCAGTATATCGCGTATAGAATATTATGTACATCGGAAGCGAGTGAGTGTTATACATATACATACTTCCTTAAAGGGGTGCGACGGCTATATAATGTTTATAATCGTATAATATTATATTATGTACCTATAGGTATATATATAAGCTTAATGTCTTGTGGATGTGTGCGGTGTGGTTTTTAAACGACATATTATAAGACTGTACTTATATAATATACCTATATAGTATAATATGTGTGTGTGCGCGTCTGTATATTATAGGAAATAATATGTTTAAAGACTAATAATATTATATTAGTAGTCTCGTATGATATAAATATTAATAATAATTCGCTGTTGTTCGAAAAATGTTGTTAACGCAATAAGCTGTATAATATGTGTGACCATACATATATAAATAATAATACACGAGAACGATACGCAATTTTCCGGGTGATTCGTTACGTGTGTTATCATAAATAATAATAATAATTTCGACCGTTCGTAGCGTATATTATTTTTATGGTTCTCGCAAAATTACAATCGGTCATCGCAGTGCAATAGCGAAGACTGTATAAAAACTATTAAAAAAAAAAATAAACATTTTATATCGTACTCGTTTATAATATTATATTCGTTTGGGTTTATTGGCAATATCACGGAGGAGGCTCATATTAAAACACATTTCTTTTTAAAATTATATAGTATATTATACTCAAAGCAAGATGTATCACATATATATACGATTTTTATAAATCAATAAGAGTAGAAACTCAAATCTTCTAATACTGTTATAGTACCTTTTTTTTGTTCGTCATATTAATATTACGATCATACTGATTTTACGCATTATTGAGACTGATGAACTGAAAAATTAACTCGATTGGGTGGTGTCGGTAGCACGGTACGCACTTATTTATAATAATAAATTACGTTTGCTTGGTATAATATTTAAGGTAATTATTTGAAGTATTCGACTGAGCCTTCACTCTGCAGAACTTAATTCTATACATGCAAAATTATATCTCTCGGGCCTTTGAAAATAATAAATTAAGACTCGCTTCGCAGTCCACACTTAAATTCGGAGTCACTAAATTAAACGCAACGGATTATATAGATATATTATACATAAATCGGAAAATTCCAAAATACTATTATTATTTATTACTATCATTCTCGCGGAGCTGCAGTGTTTATAATAAACCTACAGTGGCGAAACGAACCTCAAATTGACCCTACACACCCAACAACAGTTTATAATAAACTCAAGTACCATAATTAGTATAACTGTTACTATTTACTATTATTATTTATTTTTTAGTAATATTGTTTTTAACTTTCATATCGATTACCCACCAAACCCACCAAATATTTGAAAAAAAAAATCCTTCTAATTTAAAACCTATACCTATATTTTATTATTATATTATATAATAATCCACACTCATAAATTCATTATTTTTCCTGAATTTGAGTTGTACTTAGGCATTAACCTTATTCCACATATTATATAATACTCGTATATAATGTATATTATGTACCTATAATATCATATAATGGTCAATAAATAATATAATGTATGTTATATATTGGTACAAGGCACCTAATATTATAGTTACACGTGAACTGCACCTTCAAACACACATGACGAAATTATTGTTCGTCCGGTCAACGCAGCACGTGTGGGTGTGTTTATATTATTATATATTGTATAAGAGCAATTTTATACAATATAATTTAAAGCTGCTCCGGTGCAGTCTCTCCGCTTCGGTGGCGGTCCTGCGGAGCTCGCGGCGCAAGCTGTTGCGGCGTGGCGAAAGTGTTATGGCGTGCGGTAATCTCCGGCGGAACTGACCGCCGCCGCGCCGCCTGCATCATCGCGCGGGCGGGCGTTCGGGCGGTCGGCTGAATTCACGCGAGTGCTTGCGCGCGCGCGTCTACCTACCCTTATATAGCCCGCCCGCTGCGCGGTCATCATCCCCCGCGCGTGAATATAGTGCTGGCCCGCGATATCGTATTTTCAATCTACAAACTATTCAATTAGCTTCCGTCACAGTGTCAAACAATGTGGGGGGACGACGATATTATATAGCCGCTCCCACCCTTATCGTCGTCGTAGTCGTCGTAGTCGTCGTAGTCGTCGTCGTTTACGGTATACAGCACAACACGCTGTAATGCATATACATATATATCTATAGGCCGCCACTGTTGTTTTCCCCTCATTTACCCACTGGACGACGTGTGTGCATGGTGGTGGGTAGGAGGTGAATTTTATAAGGGTCAAATTATGTAATGATTTAAAGGGACCGCACCGCAGCTTCCGCCCTATATAGTGGTATATATACGTAAACATATATATATATATAAATATAAACGAGCGCGCGCGGTATTAAAGCTTAATAATATCGCCGACCGACCCGAAATCCCGTGTAACGGCATGTGTGCCGTCTCTAAAACGACGCACACACACACAAACACATTCAATCCGCAAGTGCGTATCATCCATTTAATATACGAAGGGATAATTGAAAAGGCTTTTTTTAAAAAAAAAAATTTTCGCGCATTATATTATTCTTTTGCTTTTTCTCCGCATTTACGCCGAAAAATAACGGATTGATAAATTAATAGTATATAATATTATAATACAAGATTGGTATTTTCATTTTGTGAAAGTATCCATTTAATTATATTTCATTTTGTGTGTTGAAAATCTTAATAGATATTATGATATGATCAAAATGTTGCAGTTAACATATATATAGGCTCGCTTCATTTTATATTTGTCGAAAGTTTTTATTACCGAATTATGTGGTTTTTCGAACTATATATTATAGACTATATAGTCTTAAAACAGATCACTTTTTAATTCTTTGTCCAAGTCGATGATACGAGTGTATTAGGCTTTATATATGACTTTGTGAGTAATATAATAGTTAAATATTATACCGTATACGCAAATCGAACACATAAATCGAGACTGCCATACACTATATAATATATATACCAAAGACAGTTACTCCTATATAATTGAGACAACTACCTTATAGCTGCACGCCTCATATAACCTCATATAAGTTACTTATAATATAGTTGGAAACAATATATTATATATCTTTGGGAGATCACTGCACGAATATTATATATGTTACGAGTTAAGTCCAAAAACGGTTAATGTACATATTACCCGGATAATGTGAACCTTATCCATATGTAAAGTGTAACGTATACATTATCCACCTTAAATATATTGTATTATCCAATTAATTTATACATTATCAGGTGTGCTGTGGATAAAGTATTCGTATTACTGTAATCGTAAACTGATAACGTCGGTACAACATGACCATGAATTAAGATATACTAAGATTTAAGATTATTAAGATATCTTAATTCGTGAACATGACCAAAAGCATCAAACACTTAAAATGGTTCAATTACAGGATTTCTTTCTAGTAGCAAAAACCAAATTATACTAATCCAAAAAAAAATTATTTATTATTATTACTAAACTATTAACTATTATTACTATTAAACTATTAACTATTATTACTATTAAACTATTAATAAATTATATATTTGAACAATTTTACTATTTAAAGATGAAATACAATTATTTATTAGAACAACTTCTACTTATGGTAGTTTGACTAGAACTGTGTCGCCAACATTGCATGGTGGGAATTTGTTATTTTATCAAAGTACTTTGCCCACTCAGTCGTAGATAATGTGTAAAATACCTGAGTAATGTACGAAATAAACGTTTTATAAATAGTATTTTTACTTTATCCAATATGTACAGATAGTGTTCACCTTACCCGGATAATGTGAACACTAACCGTATTTTGTGCTTTACCCGTAACATATATTCTAGAAATATTTCTGACGGAGACAACCCCGAGTTTCAAACCTAACTCAATTGGGTATAGCAGGTAAACAACTACAATATCAAATAGTATATAAACCTATATAGTATTCATGATATTATATTATTATTTACACAAGCCGCACACTTACGGATTATATCGTTTTGATAACAACATTTACGATTTTTTACACGGCGTAACTACGACGGTGAGACGTTTTTATAGTTATTCGCGACTCACGTTTTAAGTCGTGTTCAATTGCTGCGGGTGCAGGGGGCCGCGGCTTCCACGATAAGCAGTCTGTCGCGCCGTTCGCCGAAACATTGTGTGCGGGAGCGGGTTGTTTTCTCCACTTATTCTTTCGTTTTATCCATTTCCGGAGGAAAAAAAAAGTCGCAACGATGGGCGTAACGACGTAATTTTCTGTATAGATATTATATGTATACGTTTATACACACGCGTGCGCTAAAGTGCGATGGCGGGCTGCGGCGAAAGCCGACGGAATTACATTGAAATGCAGTAAACGGGATTTGGCGGTCCCCCGGGCGCCGCCGCCGTCGTCGCCGAGAAATAGATCGTTTATTTGGTTTTTCTTCTTCTCCCCCGCGGGTGCGAGTGCGGGTACGCGAGATGCGACGGCGACGGAGGGACGCGAAGACAAAAACAACGTTTTTCGGGGGTACACGTGCGTGTGTGTGCGACACCACCGCCGCCGCGGATTGTGTTAACAAAATGAAATTCTCGTTGACACGCTTTCCCGGAACCCTGAATATCGCCCGCCGCTCCAGTTTCACATATCGCTCGTCTCGTCGAGCGAGTGATAAAAACATAACGCCCCTTTCTGTCGTCCTCCCGAGCAGCTATTTCCCTACATCCCTTACACGCTGCACGCACACAAGCACCAGGCTGCTTTCCCTCGCGGTTTTTCTCCGACAAAAAAATACACGTATATATCATATATACACACACACACACACACGTGTACAATATACGTACGTCGTACACTGTATATAAGCTATTTATTTTCTCCGCACGCGTTCGTTTTAAACGTATTTTATGTTGTTGGGCTGCTGCTCCTTTTATTATATTACTTTTGCTCGTTGTTTTAAACGATATATATATATATAATATATATGTTGTGCGTGTGCGGAGAAGGAGCAGCATATAGGGGAAAAAGACACGAAAAGAAAGAATGAAAGAGGGACTGAGAGAGAGACCGAATGCGTGGAGAGATGCTTTATATATATATATTATATACGTGCAGCGTGTTTTCGGCGCCCTGAAAATCGACCGCAACGATCATTGGGCCAGATTGTTGTGTTTACGATAACTATTTGCCTGCAATATCGAAAAGGAAACGCCACCACCACCGCCGCCGCCACAGGGGAAACGTTGTTATTTTATATATTATTGTTTCTATATTGCTTGGAGACGTTTCCTTTATTTCTCCTACTACCGCTCCTGTATATACCAAAATTCGATAATAATAAGAGCTATTCCGGAGTTGTTTGAAATTGTCGCTAAGAGTTTACGACGTTACAATACATATATATATATATATACGGACAATTGCAGCAGGGTGGTGTATATAGACGAAACAAATTGAGTATAAGTATATTTTTTATTATTTTCCTTTATATGATACAATCCAACACAGTGATTTTTACTCTAGATGTATATATAGTATACACAACAAGGCATGCTTTTAACTGATAAATATAATATGAAAGGAAACCGTTTGCTTTACACGCGTTTATCGTTTATGTATTATTATTATATTCCCCTGCTATCATCGTGCTGATAACTCGTCGTAATAAAATCGACAGTAAATAATGTATGAAAGTGAATATTATATATTGCGTATAATATCAACAACTATATATAGGAGTGTGTCAATATCTATGTATTTTAGAGCTCGTGCAATATTATTTTTTTTTTTTAAACTTGTGTTAAATAGAAATAGTGTATGATAACCACAGTACAAATAACAGATAGTTTAATCGTAATAATGTTTTCTAGTGAATAATTCGAATCAAGAGAAGGACGGCAAGAAGAAGCACACGAGGCCCACGTTCAGTGGGCAACAGATCTTCGCGCTCGAGAAGACTTTTGAGCAGACCAAGTACCTGGCGGGTCCGGAACGGGCGAAACTGGCGTACGCACTAGGCATGACCGAATCTCAAGTGAAGGTAAGATATTAGTTACATAATACTTACTATATTTTATTAACCAGAAGTGTCCTCAGGAATTTTTAATGGGGGGAGGGGTTATAAAAAAAATAGCAAATTGCCTGATCTAAAATTGAGAAATACAATAATAATAATTAGTATATTATGTAAGTATACATATATATATGTGTCAAGTATTCGTGGGGGGTTTTAACCCCCTAACCCTCCCCCTCCTTGAGCACTACCCTTGGCACTAATACCATGTACAGCGTGTACATAATTTCAACTTAACTTTAACGGTGGAAATCGTCACCAGACGTCGGGCGTATTTATGTAACGATTATATATATTATATGTAACAGATATAATATTACGTATATCGGTGTACTTTATATATTATTATGTATACCTTATGACGTATAAGGGCTCCCAGTAACAAATTATTATTATAATTTCGTCGGTTGCAGCGTATTATAATGGCGCATTCAGCAGCCACATATATACATAATACATAATTATACATTGCAGACGGGCTTAAGTGAAGGCGGGTGGTTGAATTATTTCCCCGCTTATATACATATATAATGTATTATTATTATTATTATTATATACGTATTATATAATACGAGGAGGATTTTTTCGTCGTTTTTTATTAAAAATTATAATATTATATTTTATACGAATTTACATTTTTATTGAAAGGCGTCGTCGTGCGGTTTCAACGCATCCCCCCCCCTCTCACCCCGGCCACATCCACTAACGCGTACTAACGTCCCTTCGCAATATATATATAAACATACGCATAGCATACACACACACTGTCGCCACGCGTTGAGGGCGATTCAATTATCTGTGTAATCCTCCAATTATAGTGACGGGGTTTCGGGTTGTTATGCCGCCGCCGCCACGGCACAACCCCGCGGAACACCACCGCCACCCGCCTACAGTCACGACACCCACCGCGACGCCGCCGCCACCGCGTTTATCCCGTTCACGTATATAACAATATATATGTATATATATATATAATATATATAAACGCTGTGCACTTGTCTCTTCCTCAAACAACCGTTACCACGGTAACCGACACGGCGGCCGACTACTGCTGGGAGCTTTTAATTGCCCCGCGAAGAAGCGCTAACGATCCGCTTCGTCGTTTTTCCCGCCGAGCCACCCCGACCGACACCGTTATATTCTGTCCGTCGACAGCAGGCGGCGGCGGTGTCGGTGATGCCATAAATCACGCCGACGTGCAGGGGCGGCGGCAGAACAGCGCAGCACCCTCCGTCACCGTCACGCCGCCACCGCTCGAACCCTGCACCCGCCGCAAACATCCGACACTCGATGACGACGCTTCATTAGTGCACGCATCCACCCCCATCCCATTCCTCGTCCAAGCGTCGAGCCCGCCGCTTGTAACCGCTGCTTGTGTAACGCCTCCCGCGCGCCGTCGTATTAATCTCTATATAAAAAGTGCACGTGTCCCGGTCGTGTGCACATACACATATTATTATTATATGAGCGCGGGGCAAGTCGTGCAAACAAGCGTGTTTCGCGTTAGTCAAAACACGTCCTTCCGCCGGGGTGTCCCTATATCGTCGGCATACTGCTTGATGTATTTTTATGTGTATATAAATACATGTTTAATATCGTAGTAACCATGATACTCAGTGGTGTGGCGAACCGGAGTGTATTTTCAGAGGCTATAGTCATCTAGTATTCCACCCTGCACCCTGCAGCCCCAAATATTAACCCGATAAAGGCGTCCTCTGCCATGTTTGTAACTAACTGTCGCAATAGTATTATTGCTAAAATATTATAGTTACTACTAAACTGTCATCAATTGGTCATTACCCGTCAATCGTCCACCCCTTAAACACTCAGAGGTGGTCGCCTCTGGATAATTATTTCCTTCGCCACGCAACTGCAGCTGAGTCGAGACTTGGTCTAGGCTTGTTATCGGTTTTCCTAATATTATTGTTGTGACAACATTTATTATTTGCTCGCATAACGATAGTGGAGGTATAGACGTATAGTAGGTATATATGCTCATTTATTTATCTCGACATGTGCTATGACTATGTACTTATTATAAAGTCATAAATCATAATAATATATGATCAGTTTAGTGTTATACCTCATAATTCATATCGACTGCGTCGGCGGACAGTGTACAACGATATCGCAGTTTTACAGTTCAAGTACTGCACTAAGGCTCGAAAGATTTTTTTTTTTGGCTCGTCGAAATAAGAAATTATAGACAAGTTTCGGTTTTTTTATATATAGGATTTTTTTACTCGTCCCGCGGAGATGACTCAACTGTTAATAATATTTGGACACCCAATAGCAATCGTACCTATCGTGTATACCGGTTGCGAGGACGTATTTTAGTATTTACAGAGGACGGGAATCAAAGAGGTGCGGTTACCTTACATAAACGATAAACGTATAGTAGGTATACCTTCCAAAACGACTTTTCCTCGGATATTTCTTATACATCAACTCGGAATATTTCAAGATGTTTACACACTGATTATGTCCCGGTCATCTGCAGGTCATCATAATATATAATACATAGGTAGATATTTAATTATTATTATTATTTCTATCGAAAATATAATATAATAACACAATTGTATACATAATATGCTTCGTCCAATATCTAAAGTGAGCGTGTAGAAGGATTTAAAAAAAAACATCTTGACACGGTAGAACATAATATTATACATTTAGGCGTATATTGCCCACACCTACTGTATATTATTACGGTATGTATATATGGTGTTTGTGGCGGTGATATTATATTATTAGGTATGTATATACTACTCGACGAATATTGCTGTTTTAACATTTACCCCTCGTCCCGTTTCTCCGAAATAATATATAAATTATTTCCTTCACGTCCGCAACGTTTAATTTTATTATTGTGCGTAAAAGACTCATCGCATCATCTGATACGGGTTTTAAGTGATTCATACTCCTCTCGCGCGTGTATAATATTCCGTTTTCTGTTTTCTGAAACGTTCTACATAATATTTATATATATATATATATACACAATAACGTTATTTAGAGGTATAATAGCTTGTTTATACATTTTTGGAACGGTCTTTTCGTTTTTTTCCGTGTTCCTTCTCGGAACAATTCATTTATCAACCTGCTTGAAGCCGTCTGTGAAAATCCTTTGGTTCCTACAATTTGGTTTTTTTTATCGTCAGTAGCGTTTCGTTTATTGATGAGTTATTATAATTATTATAACTTGTAAGTCATGAGAATATTAAAACAATTAAAAAGGATGATTTCAAATCGAAATTTTATAATTACTAAATTAGTTACCTTTATATATTAATATATTTTAATACATCCATCACTGCAACGTGTGTGCGGTCGCAGATCGTGGACTAATTTAGTAATAACATAAATTTATTTTATATATTTACATATATAATATACTATATAGCCTTTTATGTACAGTGTACATAATATATTATGGTCGGCCTTAAGACACCGTTAGTCGGCAATCAACTCTCCACCACTGTTTGCAGTTCGATATCACATTATATACGCGCATAATTTGAGGTTAAGAAAACCGCCGCCACTGTTTCTCGCGGTCTCCCGAGACGTTGGACTTATCCGGCCTTAATGGCGTTTGCGAGAAGGCTTAATTCGACGGCGGCGACGGCATATATATCGTATATGTGTATGTATTATAAATACAATATATATATATATATATAAATACGCACTGTAAGCGTATATATTTAAATATAGACTCGAAAGTATATATAATATATTATTAGTTGCACGATTTGTGTAATATAAATACGACAGAGTTAGAACAGTTGTATACCTATATAATCGATCGATCGAGATTTTGCGCAAAACGTTTAAATCAACCTAATGTAGTGGTGTGTTTCATAGAAGCAATTGGTGTTGCTCAAATAATTTTAGGTGACCTACCCTCATAAAATTGTTATACCGACCTATAAAATGTCCTATTTTTCTTCTATCGATAGCCACCCACCCCTACATGTTTAAGGTGTCGTCCAAGCAACACTTGGGTCCTATGTTACACGCCACTGAATTTGTATATGTATAGTAGTATACCTATTAATTTTTTTCCTTCAAACGACACAATCTCACTCTCTATATTTTCCCAAATGCGTGTGTGGGGGGGGGGGGGTGTAGTATTACGGGACGTACATACACACAAAACGGGTTCAATGTTTTGGTTTTGGTTTTTGCTTGTATATAATATGCAATAACACAATATACGAAACCCAAAACGAGCTTGCACACGTATGTACTACGCATTAGCGGGCCAAATCGGATTAGCCGTTGAGAAAACGCCATATGGGTACGCCGCCGCCGCCACCGCGATGCCGATATGGGATCCCCGTGCGTCGGGTTAACCGTCCGTGAACGCGCGTATATACACTTTGGCGGCGCACACCCCTTCGGCCCTCGAAGGGTTTGACTCGATAAACCAATTATTATATGCTTCCACTTATATATATATATTCTAACATTGCACCCATATATGCACACACAAGCTTGAACGGCGGTCATCGGTTTTTCGCGATGTAATCAATTTAAAAAAAAAAAAAAACCCTAACATTATATACACAATAATAATAAAATAAAGCACGCGAGAGAGGGTTGTTCGCACGGCGTACATATAAATAAAGTGTTCCGTTAGACGTGGTGACGATAAATACACCGCCCATTGCACCGTCGAAGTGTGTATAATATAATAATAATATAAAATATATTATGATGATGCCGCAAAAATGTTTTAACGGGACCAAAACGGGAATAATATTATAACTTATAAAGTACACGACTATTGATGAACGCAGAAAGTCCGACGCACTTCCCGAAAACGTTCTTATACCTTCGTAAGAAATTGCTATTAATCTGCCTATGTATAACATAATATATTACTATTATATCGCGTGTTGCTGGGTAACTGTTTTACATATATTATATTATATACAATGTTATATATTATGTTATATAAC